ATCCAACCCTGGCCGTCTGGGGTTCAAAAACCGGCACAGCACCTGATGGGAAAAGAGGAGGAACAGGTACAGATCTTGCAAACATCATTGCAAAGCTCATTCTATGTGCGCCTTCTGGAAGTTCTTCCTGACCTTAGGACAGTCTGCCCACCTTGAAGCGAGCTTCACTGGCCAGTAGTCATGGAGCTGCTCTTATCTGTCAGGAGAGACAGGATAACCAATAGAAGCGACACTAAAGAGCAACTTTCCTAAAATGCCAAACATCAGCAATAACAACCATATCAGACTCACCAACCACTAACTGTTTGTGTTCCCTTGTTTCGCTTGCCATTATTTTCAATAACATCGACAAATTCTGTGTAGTTGAGGTTTTTCCGGGATGCAGGCCGATCAGATCCAGGACCGCTGGTACTCTCCCTCCCTGCAGAAAAATTCCCAGGCTGTTGTACAAACACCTTGAAATCATGGCAGCGGACCACGCCTTTACGTTTCCTGTCCATCAGCGGAACGCTGTCAGGTTGTCCTGATGGGAAAGAGATGGAGAAATTTATCCAGGAATAGAGAACATCATTGAACATTGTGTGAAGGACTGTTTGCTACCCTAAAGATTCACAACCTGCCACAACCAGTCATCAATCCTTAAAGGCGCACTGTGGATTCTTTCTTGTGAATAAACAAAAGTTGTTTGAGTGTTACTCACCAAAACTCATTGCATGTTTCCTGGTACTTTAACAAATGTGTTGAAGCTATTCCTTCCTCATAAAATCAGTTGCAAAGCCGACTTTTTAAAGTATTAGGCCTATTAAACCCAGCATTGTTTATGGTCCATTGGTTTACTTCTAGAAGTCTTCTTTCTCTTCTTTGTTGACACCATTGCTGCATATCGCAGCATGTGTTACTGCTACCTGTAGATTCAGTGGAAAAGTGTACCCACAGGTACGTATGCATCTTGAGCGTTCCAACTGTGGGTGCACAGGATAAACTCAAACAAGCTCCATAGTTACAACTATAGGTCAAAGTTTTACACAAAATTTTAGTCCTAGTTGAATCTGGTGACACGTGTTACTTATGATAACAGCAAATAACAAGTGTCTGAATATAACAATTCAAATATTTTTTGAATTTTGGAAATGACAACAACTATATTCAGAATTTGAAGGAAAAAGCTCAGATTTTTTCTGTCAAACTGTCAAAACATGTAGCACATATATCACGTCTTCAAGTTGTAGACTAATTCAAATTTTCTTTTAAAAACACAAAAAAAAAATCCAAATTGACATGTCATAAGCACATATTATTGAAAGTAAAGTTTTTTCTGAATCCAATGGTACTAAGCCATTAGATATAACTAACTTGATAGTTCTTGTGATACAGTCAATTTCTGGGATCAATACTATAGTCATTAGTCAAGGATTCAAGGTCATTTCATTGTCACCTTAAACATCCTAAAAAAAAGAATGTTTAAGAAAAAACTTGCGCCATAGCCTCTTGCTGAACCAATTTAAAACTTTCAATGGATTTGTGCTTAAGCTCAGCTAGAACCTAAAGTGCTGAAAAGCAACATGATAAAATTCTTACTGTGGACATTAAATGGGGTATGGAATGTATGTGAATTCCCCGTACTTAAGGGGAACAAAAAGGGTAACTATTTAGTAAATAAAATGATGAGAACATTTTTCTGGTTCATGAACGATTCATGAAGAAAGTGGTCAGTATGTCAAGTATTTAGATAAAATTCAATTTCAAATATTTGTATAGTGCCAATTCCATAACAGAAGTCTATCTCAGGACACTTTTCAAATAGAGCAGTCTAGACCAAACTTCCTTATAAAAGGAGGTAATAGAAACTTTTTTTTTTCTTAACTCATCATTATCTACTATACAGTACTCAGTTCAGAGTTGTTCAAGAACTTAACGACTCATCAGTTAATGAACTCATAGTTGACAAATGCTACAGCTTTTGTCTTTGCGATCACATCCAGTACTTGTATGCATCCTTTCCTGTAAATCCATTTGAATCCCACAGAGGTAAGGTGGACTCCACCAGTAACAGTAAAAAACAGAGAGGTAAATACAGAACACAGGTACATTAAAAGGGTATCACTGAAAAAATGCCCCAGACCATGAACCACAACATCCAGCCCAGGACCTTTGCAGGAGGTCACTCTGCATCTCTCCCTCCCTCCCTCCATTTCCTGTCTTTTTTTTTTATAAAAGCCTAAAATTCTGGGAAAAAATGCCAGGCACAAATAGTGCCAAAGTGAGGTCTGATGTAATGAAAATCACAGATTATCCTTGTGCTTTTTTATTAAAATAGCTGCTGAATGCATTGCTGATGAGCAGCTCGTCTGAAAGCTAAAGATTAATTACTGGCTCACCCCATGGATGGTCTTGATCCGGGTCTTCATGACAGCCAGGCACTGCTCAGCAGAAGTAAGCTGGGGGTTGACCTCATCCTTGTCACCATGACCCTCAGAGTCCTGCTGCCCGGCCCTGGCCACGCCCTCTACAGGATATTTGGTTTTGAGATTTAGCAAGTATATACATATATATATATATATACATAAACATACACAATCATCACATGCATAAACAAATTTAAAAACACAAAACATATAAATACTAACATAGAGATGACTAAACAAGAGGAAAAGAATAAGTTAAAAAAGAGACAACAAAAATAAGTAAATCTATAAAAAGGCTTGCCTAGAGAGGTGGGTTTTAAGGAGCAGCTTAAAACAGTCCTAAAATTTAGAAAATCTGAGTGATTGAGAAACATGATTCCAGAAGGTTGGGGCGAAAACGGTCCCCTTTAGCTTTGCAGTTGGAGCGGGGAATGGATGAAAGGCCAAGATTTGAGGAGTGGAGTGGTCGAGGTGTGGAATGAGAAACAAGGAGATCTGAAACATAACCGGGGGCGAGGTCATGAAGTGCCTTATATGTAATCAGCACACAAACTGGTTCTCCTGCATTCCCGGTCTCTGTGAGGGAATTATACCCAACAAATTGCAATTTTTGTTCCATTTTGTGAATTATTTGTGCTTTTCCACACTCGCAGAATGCCCTTCATGTCTGGCAAGCACACTGGGCATTTAACAGCCTGACCTAATTTACATTTAATTAGAAGCACACTTGAATTCTGAATCTAGGAAGTCGATTTGTATGCCTTGCAAACATGACTAACTTTACGTCCCGGCTTTGTTTTTTAATGATTCTTCTATTTTTTTTGTTATTCTTTCTACTATTTTTGTTTTTATTATTATTTTTGAGGATACAAATTAGAGCGATGCCCTGCTGCTCTGTTTTCTGCTTCCAAAGCACATAATTAGCCCAAACAAGCAGAAATGAGTGTGATTCTGAATCTGCGTGCCTCTTCGCTCTGCTAATGAGAGACGAAGAGGCTCACTCTTACTCTATTTATGATCCAGGATGATTTCTCCAATGGCTCATGTGCTAAGAAAGACATCATTTTACAGGAAGCAGGGGGCTTATGTTTGATCACCGTGGGTGGGGTAGGAGTTTGGATGCAAGGCGAGATGGAGTGGAGGGGGACGGGAGCCTGGTGGGGAGTAGGAAGGGATTTTTAAAATCTCTATTTAAGCATTGAAAACCCTGCCATGCAGAACTGATGGGTTTGCTGACGCCGCTGGTCAAGATGTTCTGGCTGCCGTTCTTTTGTCTCACCCTCATACATCGCCAGGAACACCGAGCACTCCATCTGTCCGTCCCTGAAGCCCAGCAGTTCAGTGAACTTGTTGAAATTCTCATTGTCTAAGATGACCCAGCTGTCTTCTAGTATCTGGGGAAAAAGAAGAGAAAGCAGGACAGCTTTGGCAGTCAGTTGCACTGCACTGCGCTTTAGGCCAGGTTGCATTGACTTTTCAGAGTCAGGACCACATGAACAACAGGTACACAAGGAAATCTGACCTGTATCTTTTACTGACCAACTGCAGAAGATTTAAAATGCCTGAATAAAATCAAACACAGAAACAGGTGAAATACAATAGACATTGCTATTTGTGTTTGATTTCTATGTATGCATTCCTGTGTCATAATTAATAACTATTACTCTTTAATAACTGAATGAATAATTACCTAATTAAAATCAAATCACAACTAGGGGTGTGACGATGCTGATGATAATTGCGGTATTTAAAAATTAAATATGCATGATTTGTGACATCACAAAGACTTAATAATATTGAAGTCAGTCCTGGTCCAGTATACAACTTGTACAGTGTGAATGTAGAAATTGAAAGCCACCAAGTGCACATTCCACTGAAGAATGGACATTCAGTAAGTAGGAGACATCTTGGTCCAGCAGGAAAACTTTAGAAATGAACAACGTTTGCATATTCAGAGATTCTGGAATTTATAATGAGGCAGGAAAAAAAGCACACATTATTGTTCCAAGCAGACAACTGTATATGTGTCTTCATACATATTGTGATGTGTCTTAGTTAAAGTTCAGATAATGCTGCTGACTGAAGAACATGTGTCTCTCCAAACGGACATATTAGCCAGACTACTAAAAACACAGACAGGATTGGCAGACCATCCTTATAAACTGTGCACACTAAAGCCATCATTTGAACCTACTTCATCATCTTTTTTACAATACATCTTGCAAGGGAAGGATAAACTATAACTATAACTATATATAAATCTGGAGTGAGAAAACAAAATAAAAGATGCTCCTGTACTTTCTTCCCTTTTCCCCTTTAATCACCCCTCCCCCTATAGTCCCTAATCTGTGTTGCTTGCCTTGTCTGACCTTTTTTGTTGAATATACCTTTTCTTTAAAACTGTACTTATTCATCTATTTGTCAATATTTCTGTATTATTTGCCTGATTGGATTTTCTATTATCTAAATTTAATAATTTAAAAAATAAAATCTGAATTATCCCCATATTCTCAGATCTTTTATGAGCACACTGTTATCATAACTAATAGGACTGACAACAAATAAAAATAAGAACTAAGTTGCAATAAATGGGAACTATCCTCTCACTAAAGCTGAAAAAATTATCTGGGGCAGCAGCTCAGTAACCATTAGTCAGAATCGAGTCAGAATTAGTGGGTGAAACATAACAGGACCAAACTGAATGTTGTGAGGCTCAGGAAAGAAAGTGTGATGATTCACAGATCTGACCTATGTCCTTTGCTTTACATTTAACAAACAAGAGCATCAATTCAGACAGCTTGTATTGAGCAACGTGTATAATTTATCTTTAGCATCTAAGTCATCGCAGCCTCTTTTACATTGGCTATTTATATAAGAGCTCGTATGCTCAGTGCGCTCTACTTCTCACTCTGCTTATGCACAGGTTCACACACACCACAGGTCCCCGCGCCCCTCACTCAAACTATACTCAGACTCTCTACACACGTGCTACTGCGTCTGCTGAAATTATTGGTCGAGATATTGCAGGATAATCCAACCTAGACATGAAAAGAGCAACAATATACAGTGGGGAAAACAAGTATTTGATACACTGCCGATTTTGCAGGTTTTCCCACTTACAAAGCATGTAGAGGTCTGTAATCTTTATCATAGGAGTGACGGAATCTAAAACAAAAATCCAGAAAAATCACATGGTATTTTTTTAAGTAATTAATTT